CTACGGGGAACCATGCAAAAAACGCATCTTCGCACGGGCAGCCCGTGCGTTGGCCAATTTTTTACTTATAATTTGAAAAAAAATCCGCAAACTGGCTGACAGAACCACTAGTTTCCCGGAAACTTGAACTGCGCCACCACTCTATATGATAAATTTTAGTCTAAATACCAAACTGCCCAGGTGCCGGAATTCTGAACAAGCTTATTTTACACGTTTCTTTTCCATGAAATCAAAGAAGTTGTCCAATGATGGCTGAGACTTCTCTGCTTCCACTCATCTCTAATTTCATTTTTTGCGAAAATTCCTCTAGTTCTTAATGTTATTTAAGAAAAACTTACTTTTTAAATGCACGCTCCCAATCGCCACCGGATTCATATACGCTGTACAGGATTGAAGCAACTGCAAGTAGTGTTAAACTTTTCGAGCCGGATTTCCATCTGTAAATATTTTGCTTCGGTAAATAATTTTTTTTACTCAGACTGACTAAATTACCGAATATATTGTCCAAAAATTTCGAACTTGTGCGACCAAGGATGTTCGAAAAAACATTTTGAAACACAGACTGCATCGTAAAATGTCTTCTTATGCATTACACCTAAGTCCAATCCTTTTATCCTATTATTCTAAGAGAAACTATGGATTTTTAAGCTCAAAAAAAAGTTAATCCGACAAATACCCTAACATCGCTCTGTTACACAGTTAAAAACGGTCAGCCTCCTTTTTTTAGCATTTCCCTTATAAAAATTGATGTCTTTTAGTAATTTGTTCGACTATCACTTTTCTTTGATAACTTGTTCGGGGGTTACTTTTCAGGGCGTTACTTTTCGTCACTGATGCAGCTACCAATTTGTCCATTTTTGCCTATTTTTGTCTTTTCTCATCCACATTTTTCGTTTCACATAGTCAAGCGCAAGTGGATCCTTCCACCTCATCTAGCTGCTTTCCTAAAGTTAATATTCTAAGCTAGTAGCGTGCTCTGTGTGTGTTTGTTTGCGTGTGTTTGGAAGATAATTAATCATACATACACATTTATAAGTACGCAAAATAATAAAAGGTCACAAAAAAAAGGTGTTCTGGAGAGTCGAAGCTGCCCAGAGCAGGAACAAGAAGCGAATAAGTTCAACTATGGGTTGAACTAGTTGTGGCGTTCCGGGGATGGAGAGGAGTGCTTCTATACCTCAGCGGTCAGAGATTAGTACGACAGCAAAACTTTAAGGAGGGTAGGGTGTCCAAAGTTTGAACCAGGGGCCGGGGGAGGGCATCATAGTGGCGCAATTGTTCTTTAAACTATTTCTAACAAAAAACATAAATCATTATATGATATATTATGTGACAGATGAGATGCAAATAATCGACTGGTTTTCGCAGATACAGCACATGTATATATCAAAAACGTGGAATATTAATTGGAAGTAAGCATTTCAGGGTCAAAATGCCCGGAATTATTGCGACCAGCTTTGTGGGAGCAAAACAGTAGCATCCACAAACGTTGGGATCAAAAAGGCCAACTATTTAGGCAGTTTTAGCATTACTAATCAAAAAAAAAGTTTGACTCACTTGATATATTTATCAATTGGCAGCCTACGTGCTTCCACCTGATCTTCTTGTGCAGCTAGTAAAGTAGCATGTGGATGTAAACGATGTTGCGCCACACGATCCACAATACCACCCAAAACATATGCCTTCGATCCATCTACCTCAACAAAAATACGCCTTCAACGTGGTACAAAAATGGCAGAAACTAGAAAAATTGAAAAAAAAAAAACAACTGCTGAATTTCACTCATTTGAAACCTAAAAATGCTGCTAGTAAGATATGTGAATCTATTTGAAC